CCATTGCCGTGTGTAGTTCATGCGCCAAATGCGCACGCAGCCGTCGTCGCCGGTGGAGATTAGCATGGTGGCCAGCATGTTCCAGCAGACGCGCCAAACGGGGCAATTGTGCTCGCTAAACTTAAGCGTTTGCAGCTCCAATTTGGCATTGCCCGTCGAATCACTGAAATACGGTTTAAACTAGTGTTATATGTCTACAAACATGGCTTGGCCGGGCACCTACGTGACGCCGCGTATGTTGACTATGTAGAGATCCTTGCTGGCCACGGCTAGCATGTGAAATGTGCGTCCCGCGTTTGGTGCAAAGGCCACATCCGTCACGGGGTCGGTTATATCATTGACAGTCTCAATTTTTACACATTTGCGCGCATTTTCGCTATACGCAAATATAAACACTTTGCCCGTGGGCGTGGCAGACTCATCGCTGCCGGCCTGCAAAATCGTTAAGCTTTACTCATGAAATCTGTGGAGGATTAGGACAGCTCACCGCCAGCAACTGTGTCACCATATATGTAGATGTGTTCCAAGAAAGGCAGCTGAGCGACAATTTATTTGATATTTCATGCTGCACGGGCCACTGTGACAAATTCATAATATCCGGCGCCTCGTAGATGCGGATGATGCCATCTGCAGAGGCGGTGGCCAGCAGCAGGCCCAGATATTTGGGTGCAAACTCCACGTCCGTGACGCTTGTGCGTGAATCGACGAGTGTTGTGCGACGCACCCAACGCCGTGTCGGTACGTTCGTTGTGGATACCTTTTCACCCATGATTTCCTCCCAAACGGAGGCAGTGCGATCGAAAGAGCAGGTAGCTATTACCTGGCCAAACTCCGGATTAGCCCAGGACACACGCCAAATGGAGCCCGAATGCGCTTTCCAGCTGCTTGTCACCGACCACTTGCCCTGCTCGTCCTCGTCCCATATCTAAAACAATCAGCATCAAATTATTACGGCTGCGGGGAATTGCAATTTTTTTGCTTATTTTACCTTTACGGTTTGATCGCTGGAGCAAGTGGCCATGCGGCGTCCATAGTAATCGAACACTACATCGTGTATGACATCCTTGTGGTCCGCAATGATTGGCTCCACATCGAACATGTTGTGTTTTCTTTAATTATTTCGCAAAACAAGCAAAAACGCGGCTTCTTTCGCAGCAAATGTTGCAGATGTTGTTGTCGGCTTTACGCTCTGCCACCTTGTTGTAGCCGCAAGTTGGCAGCACGCATTGGTGTTTTGCAACACTTGTTGCTATCGGTGTGCCAAATATCGATAGACGTTATCTTTCGCAGCCTTAACAGAATCGGATTCATATTAACGCGTATAAAACCACTGATGAACGAACAAACAATTGCAAAATATGTGTATTAACATAACTGTCACATACATAAATCGCTAAAAAAGTGTAGTGGGAAGCACGTTTAATTATTTGTGCGGAGTGCGTCTGCTTTAAATAGCATAACCGAGCCAAAAACCACCCACAAGCAGAACCCAATTGGACAAAAACATACTTTGTGGCCGGACTAATATATTTATATAAAACAAAATTGCTAACAAAAAGAGGCGTGCAAAACGCAATACAATGGAGAAGAGTAAGTCAATGGCCAGCTGGCGCGTTTTAATTAACGACAAGTGCGTAATTAATGTGCGATTAGTGACTTTTCATACATAAATATGCACCTATGCAAATGCATTAGTTTCTTAGTTCTTGGTACTCTAGGGGCAAAGCACGGGTTATTCACCTCAGGCACAAGCACTTGCATAAATCAACATTCAAATAACGGTGCTTCTAGTTGAGTGTGTGTGTGTGTCTGCTTGTGTATTAATTTGTTGTTAATTTAATGCCTTTACAAGTATGAAAGTGCTGCGAAGCATAATTTGTTCAATATGTTTGCATTCTCTTGGTCTGCTCTGCGCGTGCTCTCTCCTTCTCTCGCTCTCTCTTGCTCTCGCCGCTTGGCCTGACCTTGATTTCTATTGGACTCGCATATCGCGCGATGTCCGCATGATACTATGTTGGTGTGCCTTTATGCTTGTGTGTGTGTGTGTGTTTATGTTTGCTTGTGTATGTTTCGGCGAAATTGTTGTGGGTGGGTTTCGAGACGATTCTTTGAAAAGCAGTCACAGCGAGCCGGCTTCAATTACTTAATAGTTAAATTGTATATGCAAGTGTGTGTGTTAGTGTAATTGTAGATGACAGCTCGAACGTTTGGCAGTGACGTCGCGTATTAAACTGTACAAGCTGAGCTGCTGATAAGAGTGCATATGTACATATATACATATATATATATGAATCTGTGTTTGCGTGTGTGAATGTTTATGGCGTATCAGAAGCAGACGTCTCGAGCGCTACGACACACGCTTCTGCCGGCCACAGATAATCCGAAACTTGGCCACGCGCCCAACATGAATAATTCAGATCAAACAAAAGTTTCCGTCTATGCCGATAAGAGCCTTAATGCCTTGGATTGGTAATACTTTTAACCGTTGAGTGTTTACCAAAAACATAAATATTGTATTAATCATAGCCGGCAGTTGGCATGGTTACCGCCGTGCTTGATCGACAAAAATCGTAAGATTTTTCGATTCTTATCAGCTTTTTTTACTGGAAGTTTGTTTATGACTTTTAAAAAACCTCTGCTGGCTGCGAAAGTTGCGTGTTCTTCTCCGTTTGATTTAAATTTGAATTACACACACACAAAACACATGCCAATCACAAGTTAATCAATTTTTTTTTTTTTTGCTAGTTGAAGTCATTTGCAATCAGCTTTTAGCTGCTGACGTGCATTGCCCGGTGCAATTTGGGCTTGTTGTTGTTATTTTTGTTGTTATTGTTTCACTTTGTGCAGTTTCGTGTCATAACCCTGAACGATGTCCAGCGAGTGCATCATCAATGTCAAGCAATAAAGATTAACTTTAAGTTACGCAACAACAACAACAATAACAACTACAACAACCTTGACATTGAAAGCCTGTGTGAGGGGAGGCGCGAGAGAAAAAGAGAGCGAATCTCGGCTGCAAGCACTGATTGTTATCGATTTATCAACCCGTTATCGAAGATAGCGCGCCAAACTCTTGGGCATACAAACAAAACGAATGTGGTTAAAAGCGTGTAGAAATAAAGGAAAACAGTAAATAAATAAAACGCTGTTGCTGGCAGCTTTTTATGTGCAGTCAGCAGCATATGGCCGCGCTGCGACAGCGGCCCAGCAGCTGCCTCGACCCGTAAAGCCCTCCGAGCAATTAACATATGAGCACAACAAGCTAAGCTCAGACACAGACACACACACACTAGCATACACCTGCTGCTGCTGCTGCCGCTGCCGGCGCAGACTTTTAGGCAAGCATACATAAGTAGTTGATGTTGATAATCGCGACGTCGACTGCGCCGCCCAGTGGGCAGCAGTGATCGATAGTGTGCGTCTATGTCAGTCGCCAGTCGCATTCCAAACGTCGGTCACTGCGGAAGCGAAAATTAAGCAGCTCGTGCGAGACTTGTTGCTCCTACATTTGCGTGGCGCGCGCTTCAAACATTTAATCCGAGAGCCAAATGCAATCAATTGCCAAATAAATAAAAATCAAAATAAACTAGCGTGGTAAAAACTATATCTATAATAAAAATGATAAATTAACAAAACGTTTGCAAAAAAAAAAGTTTAAAATCCTAAGAAATCGAGCTACAAGTGCTTGCTTCATATCACCTAAAAGCCAGCTTTAGGTCATATCAGTAGCCATATTTATATAAACCAATTTTTCTAAATATAAATCTGATATGACAAGACCCATATAGTGTTTCATAACAGGATTGCACTGGAAATCTTATTGGATTGCATAAGGCTTAAGGCATACGGCAAATAAGTTGAACGTATTTCTATAGCTCTTTTTTTTTGCACACCCTGGCACACTTACATATTGTAATGGTTAAATCATTGACCTCTTCTATATACAAAGTCACATTTGCATAGCTACAAAGCAACCTCTGGTATTTTTAAGGTTTTTTAACTTTTGATGTTTTTTTCTTTGTTTTATTTTAAATTTAAGTGCGCAGTGCACAGTGGAAAATCCAAAAGAAAATCTCATTTAATTTTGGCCGCTTTTTGACAAGGGAATATTGATAGCGTCTGGATCCATAAAAATTAATAGTTAACTGCATAATTAACCGAACAACGTGCAAAGTGGTTTAAGGTGAAATACAGGCCTAGCCACATAATTTAAGGTGTACAGTGAAGTCTCTACTAACGAACAGCTGCCTCGGGCCAGCTGACATATTAAGACAGAATTTCTTTTTTGAAAAAAATTGAAAATTTTTTAATAAAATCTTCATCTTCATGTGATTTGCTTCCAAAACAAAAACTATAGCCTAAGGACCTTTTCCAAAATATTTTCTTATCAGAATAATATAAGGTGTATACCTCAGCTTATCAGTTGAATATTGTTCTGAAACATATTGTCATATAATATGTGTTGCATAATAATTATTTAAATTATAATGCACACCCGTAATGGCACATGCTAAAGCAATTGGAAGGTGTCGCAGCCTTTTATATCTAATATCTAGTGTTGTTTTGTCATATCAAGTTTACTTCTAAATAAAGGGCAGAAAACTTTAGTGAGCAAAGCACTCAAGCTGAACATTTAAGGTCTTGAATTTGTTATATAAGCTCAGTACGCTGATTTTTTTTAGCTGATAAGAGTATTAAAGATTTGCTAAAACACATTCAATTTGAATTTAATATAGTTTGTATGTTTTTCTTAATACTTGGATAAGAAACTAGTTTAACGTAATTATGCATTTTTTTGCCTCTATCTTTGGCACACAAATTCGTACGAAATGTTCAATAAATATTAATGACTTTAACCTCTTGAACTCAGTTGCCCTGCTGCCCTACATATATTTAAAAATATCAAAACAAAAAAAAAAAGAAAAAGTACATGTTATGAGATCTTATATATGTATTAGCGATATTATCACCTTTTAGCTTTTTTCTTTGTGGATGAGTAGCCGATGTTTATCGCATTTTTAATCACTCTGGCGTTTATTGCTTACCTATTGAATTTGGTCTTTGGTCGCTTGCGCGACCGCGAAAGACAAATAACAACAGCAATCCCGACTAACAACAACAACACGACCAACAACGACAACAACAAAAACAATAGTAAGAATCTTTCGCAGCGTACTATTTGTTTTGTAAACCAATTAAAGCTTAACATGGACATGGGCTCTATCTAACACGCACTTAACAATGAACTTGAGCTCTTAACGTATTATTCTAATTGGGATTTGCTTGTCTCTCTCTCTCTCTCTCTCTCTCGCACAGACAACTCCAGCGTAATTGCGGCTACAGCAACAACATCGTCAGCGATAAGTACCACAACAAAAGGCAGCGACCAGCAGCAGAAGCAACGGTTTCCGAAGTCTTGCATTAAAAAGGTGAAATTCTCCAGCGAGAGCCTCAAGTCGGATGTTGATGGCCTCTGCGAGCAGTTAAAGGAGAGCGTTTTAACCGATTTGAGTAATTTTAATAATAATAATAACAACAACAACATTGACGTTAAATACAACAACAAAATGAGCGAACAGGAGGCAACGACAAGCGCGGAAACAAAACAGGCCGCGCCTACGGACGGCGAACGCCCCAGTTTTCTGGTATTTCCTTAACATTATAAACGTAGAGTTCATAAATATATCTAATAATTGTTTAAACTTAACAGGTGGGCGATGAAATTGATGAGAAGGAGGCCATCGAGGCGGGCGAAGCTGGCGATGAATTCCCGCAGAAAATGCAAAGCGATGTCTGCCAAAATGGCGACATTGCGGAACGTCGCAAGCGTCTGAGGTTAGTTATCCAAACATCAACAATACGCGAGAGCACCACAAATCTCGTAGATAAAAAAAATGTACGTCATAATTGTTGAGGTTCGTTCTCCGCGGCAAACAAATCGCGCGAGTTTCACAGAAAGAGACGGCAATAACGACAATAACAACGTGCGTTGAAAGAGCGGCAATGGCAAACGTTGTTATCTTTAGTGAAGCTTTTACGAGAGCGTCAGCAACGCGCATAAGAGCCAAAGCTGCAGTTAACAAGTGCAAGAGTGCGTGAGAGCAAAAGCTGCAATTGCTGCAGCAGGCGGCAGCCTGTGAGAGCGTAAATGTTAAATGTTAACACCTGAAGCACTCACTGTTTGGTTCTTGTTGATTCTTCTTCTCTCCCTGTTCATAATTACAAATGAAGCCGCTGTCAACAAGGGTCAACAATTTATCTTGTGCGCTTTTGTTTTCTGCTCTCTCTGCACGCGCTCTCTCTCATACCCAACCAACGGGTCGTATGAGTAACGACGTCAGCGTCGACGCCTTCGTCATCAGCAATGGGTTGTTCAAGCTGGCGGTGTTGCCCGTGCTGCCAGTTTTTAAACAGTTGCCGTGCCCGTCGGTCGCCATAGCGTTAAGCTCATTGCCCAAAACATTTCTCGCGTGTGATTTTTTTCATTTCTTTGCTATTGACCGGCTCGCTGTCACAATAGTTTTTAGTGGTATTTCATTGTATTTTCAATACGGTGAAAGTCGCGCTGCATGTTGATTAGTCATATTTTTGTATAATACATGCGCTTGCATAATATAGATAGATATTTTAGTTGGGCTGTAAATCGATATACAGTAACTTGTAAACTTTGGACTTGAATGATCGTGGCTTTAATTGCGTATGCTAAAATGTTGAAGCGTCGCGCCAGCAAACGTTTTGTGCTTGTGGAAACCGGTGAAGAGCTGCTGCCATCGGCAACAGAAAATTCAGCACTAGCCATACCCAATATTGTGGCCATTGATCAGTGCAACGGCAACAACAACATCATCAGCAGCAGCGATGACATTGCCTACAACAGCAACATTAATATGAACAACATCAACAACAACAACAATTCTTCGCTTTTAAGCGTTTCATCCGCCGGCACCATTAAGTAATTCAGCCATAAACTATTTACATACACAAATCACGCATAATTATTTTTATGGCAAGTAAATAATTCACTTGCAAAATGCGTCCTCCGTTCGAGAGAGAGCGAGAGCGAGATTGAGCGAGAGTGAGTGAGAGTGAGAGCGCGCGCGTGCGAGCAAAGTAAACAATGTAAAAGAGCTTACGAAACACACAATAAAAATAATCTTTTGATTTGGTAAAAACCGGTTTGCCAAAATGCCTTTAAAATTCCATTTGCTGCTGTTTCATATTCGTCTGGAGCTGTGCCCCCATCCACTCTCTCCCTCTCTCTCTCTCTCTCGCTCTCTAGCTAGCCTAACATTGACCCACAGACACCTGCCAATGTAACACTGCGCTACAAAACTTTAAAATCATAATGTGTTGGCATACGTTATGTCTTCTCTTATTATTATTGACAAAAATTGTTGTCGTTTGAATTTGTTTACTATATCCTACTTTGATTATAGATGCCATAAAACTTATCAGTCAAATATTGATTGTACTTAAATCTTTTTATAACCTTGCTGTGATATTTATATGTGTTGCGCAGTAAATTAGATCAAGCTGAACCCGCTATATATATGTATATTCTTAATCAGCATCAAATTGACTCGATATAGCCATACCCATCTGTCAGTTTCTATACAATCTAGATACTCAGCCTTAAAACATTTCTCTTCTTTTTCAAGAAATCTTGACCACACATGAAATATACCTGAATTGCCATACTCTTTAGATATGTACAAAATCTTATTAATATCGACCAGCTATATCTCAAGGAAGCATCGTTCAAAAACTGAGTATTTGAATGGAAAATTTTGCTGTTTTTTACGATATCTTAGGGTAAGCAATTGGGAGCTTCACTACTTTCCCAAGTTATCTGCAACCGTCTATATGTCCACAAGGGTATTCAGTCTTCGGCTCTTATTGCTTCTTTTTTTTTCATAATGAGCGCAGGGTTCAAAGGGCTGTATTGTTCTTTTTTAAGTGTGATCTATCACACCTGTTGCTCAACCAAATACCAAATGGAGCAGAACTTGGCACATATTCTCATTTCGCTTTCGCTATTGCAGGCCCAGCATGTCGCGCACTGGCCTCGGCCAGGATCGTCATCAGGATCGGGACTTTCATATTGCCACCACGGAGGAGTTTGTGAAGCGCTTCGGGGGCACGCGTGTCATCAATCGGGTTCTCATCGCCAACAATGGCATCGCGGCGGTCAAGTGCATGCGCTCGATCCGCCGCTGGTCCTATGAGATGTTCAAGAACGAGCGGGCGGTACGATTTGTGGTTATGGTCACGCCCGAGGATCTCAAGGCGAACGCGGAGTACATCAAAATGGCCGATCATTATGTGCCCGTACCCGGCGGATCCAACAACAACAACTATGCGAATGTCGAGCTCATTGTGGATATCGCACTTCGCACTCAAGTGCAGGTACGTATTTTGTTTTTCTCTTAACCCAGCCCTGCCCAGCCCCAGAGTCGGCGTGCCCTGCCCTCCACATCTCGCCTAGACTTCGTATCGTATGATTTCTATTTACTCGCGCCGTACTCGAACCCAAGTAGAATCGTTCGATTTTCCACATTTTGTACAGCCCCTAAAAACAAAAAGGGGGCGTGTCTGCACTTGGGATAACAGGTGCTTGCCTTTAACGAGCAGATACTTAATTGATTACACTGTGCAACAATAGAAGAGTTATTAAATTTGAACTTATCAGCTTGAAAGTCAAACATGTTTTCTAACTAATTAACTAGTTAATATATTATACTATAGGTGTAGGTATAGGTGTAACACTGTCCTAATTAAAAGCACTTTAGAAACCTTTCCGTAATAAATTCTCCTGCAATTTGGTTATACATTCTCCTAGAGTTTTTATAGCAGTTATAGGTTTTTATAGCACACATTTAACTATCTGCCTTTCATGCATAAACATTTAAATTTAGATACGAAGAGACTAACACTTGCGTACTTACCTTCAATAAAGATAATTGAACCAAATAACAACAGATGAAAGATTTATGCGGCCATAATAAGTATTTTTAGTTAAAAATAAATTTATATGCTTTTACTAAAAGTAATTTTCCGTTTTTGTACCCTTTAAGCATTAGAAGAAGCAGAAATGCGTTTTGCCCCTTTTCTGCGATTTTCATATTATCAAGAAACACCAACAAGATTTTGGTATTATTCTTTGTAACCAGTTTAATATAGAAAACAGTCTGTCATAGTTAATATTTCTTGGAAAGAGCAGAAAAGAGCCTAGAGAGCAGAAAAAGAGAGAGATGCACAGGCTAAAAATGGGTGAGACCAAGAAAGAAATAAGCGATTTTGAATTAATCAAGAGAAAGTAGACAATATTAAACCTTAGTCAGCAGTCAGAGAGCTAATGAGCTAGTGATAGTGCAGGAAAGTGAAAGGGAGCAGCGATAAGATAAATTAAGATTAATTAAAGCAATTAATTATGCCTTTCTATGTGATTCTCATTACTTCAAGTGGGGCCTGCAGTTATTGAAGCTATTTTACATACAATTATATATACAATAAATTGTCAGAAGTGCAGAGCATCTTCTACGTGCATTGAAAAGAGCACTTGTGTCCTTCATGCAGGGTATAACCTAGTCGAGCAGCGTGTTAACCTAGTTGAAAATTGTTTTTCACACTGACGTCACAATTGATATGCCATGTGCCATAACCGTTATCATTCACCTAAATACATTTTGCCATCTATTCAATTAGCCGCTTCGCAATTAATGAGAGTATTATTATTATTTTTATACTACAGGCTGTGTGGGCTGGCTGGGGTCATGCGTCGGAAAATCCGAAATTGCCGGAGCTGTTGCACAAGGAGGGTCTGGTATTTCTCGGCCCGCCGGAGCGTGCGATGTGGGCGCTAGGCGATAAGGTGGCCTCCTCGATTGTGGCCCAAACGGCGGAGATACCCACATTGCCGTGGTCCGGCTCCGGTCTGAAGGCGCAGTACAGCGGCAAGAAGATTAAAATATCCAGTGAACTGTTTGCACGCGGCTGTGTCACCAATGTGGAGCAGGGCCTGGCCGCTGTCGCCAAGATTGGTATGATATTTGCCCAAGATAAGATTGACTGAGCACTATTTACAAATATTTATTTTCTCGCACTTTGCAGGCTTTCCGGTGATGATTAAGGCTTCGGAGGGCGGCGGCGGTAAGGGCATTCGTCGCGTGGACACCCCCGAGGAGTTTCCGGGCCTGTTCCGTCAGGTGCAGGCCGAGGTGCCCGGCTCGCCCATATTCGTGATGAAGCTGGCGAGCGGCGCACGGCATTTGGAGGTGCAGCTACTGGCGGATCAGTATGGCAATGCGATCAGCTTGTTTGGACGCGATTGTTCCATACAGCGACGCCATCAGAAGATCATTGAGGAGGCGCCGGCAATTGTCGCCCAGCCGGAGGTCTTCGAGGACATGGAAAAGGCAGCTGTGCGTCTCGCCAAAATGGTGGGATATGTGAGCGCCGGCACGGTTGAGTATCTGTACGATCCAGAGGGCAGATACTTCTTTCTGGAACTCAATCCGCGTCTGCAGGTGGAGCATCCGTGCACGGAAATGGTAGCCGATGTCAATTTGCCCGCCTGTCAGCTGCAAATCGGCATGGGCATACCCCTGTACCGTCTGAAGGATATACGTCTGCTCTACGGCGAATCGCCGTGGGGCTCGTCCGTCATTGACTTTGAGAATCCGCCAAATAAGCCGCGCCCGTCGGGCCATGTCATTGCCGCACGCATCACCTCCGAGAATCCGGACGAGGGCTTTAAGCCCAGCTCCGGCACCGTGCAGGAGCTCAACTTCCGTTCCAGCAAGAATGTCTGGGGCTACTTCAGCGTGGCCGCCTCGGGTGGCCTGCACGAGTTTGCGGACTCGCAGTTCGGCCATTGCTTCTCCTGGGGCGAGAATCGTCAGCAGGCGCGCGAGAATCTTGTGATTGCCCTGAAGGAGCTGTCCATTCGCGGTGATTTCCGCACGACAGTCGAATATCTGATTACGCTGCTCGAGACGAATCGTTTCCTGGAAAATAGCATAGACACCGCCTGGCTGGATGCGCTGATTGCGGAGCGTATGCAGTCCGAGAAGCCGGACATTCTGCTGGGCGTCATGTGCGGTGCGCTGCACATAGCGGATCGCCACATAACGGAGGCATTCACCAGTTTCCAGACCTCGCTGGAGAAGGGTCAGATCCAAGCCGCCAACACGCTGAGCAACGTGGTGGATGTGGAGCTGATCAACGGCGGGCTGCGCTACAAGGTGCAGGCGGCGAAGAGCGGACACAATTCCTATTTCCTGCTGATGAACAATTCGTTCAAGGAGATCGAGGTGCATCGTCTGTCCGATGGCGGGCTGCTCATCTCGCTGGAGGGCGCCTCGTACACCACCTACATGAAGGAGGAGGTGGATCGCTATCGCATTGTCATCGGCAACCAGACGTGCGTCTTCGAGAAGGAGAACGATCCCTCGCTGTTGCGCAGTCCCTCGGCTGGCAAGCTGATCAACATGCTCGTCGAGGATGGCGCACATGTGGCCAAGGGGCAGGCCTTTGCTGAAATCGAGGTCATGAAAATGGTGATGACGCTGACCTCCCAGGAGGCGGGCACTGTCACCTTTGTGCGTCGCCCTGGCGCTGTGCTCGATGCGGGCATGCTGCTCGGCCATCTGGAACTGGATGATCCCTCGCTGGTTACAAAGGCACAGCCCTGCAAGAGCCAATTCTCGCAGCCGGAGAATGCTCCCTTGCCCGAGAAACTGAACCGTGTGCACAACACCTACAAGGCCATCCTGGAGAACACCCTGGCCGGCTACTGTCTGCCCGAGCCCTACAATGCGCAACGCCTCCGGGATATTATTGAGAAATTTATGCAGAGCTTGCGCGATCCTTCATTGCCGCTGCTGGAGCTGCAGGAGGTGATCGCCTCGATATCGGGCCGCATACCCATTTCCGTGGAGAAGAAGATACGCAAACTGATGACACTCTACGAGCGCAACATCACCAGCGTCCTGGCGCAGTTCCCCTCGCAGCAAATCGCCAGCGTCATCGACAGCCATGCGGCCACGCTCCAGAAGCGCGCCGATCGCGACGTCTTCTTCCTGACCACCCAGAGCATTGTCCAGCTGGTGCAGCGCTACAGGAACGGCATACGCGGTCGCATGAAGGCAGCCGTGCATGAGCTGTTGCGTCAGTACTACGATGTGGAGTCACAGTTCCAGCACGGACACTACGACAAGTGCGTGGGCCTGGTGCGGGAGCACAACAAGGACGACATGTTGACGGTGGTCAATACGATATTCTCGCACTCGCAGGTGGCCAAAAAGAATCTGCTGGTCACGCTGCTCATCGATCATCTGTGGGCCAACGAGCCGGGCCTCACCGACGAGCTGGCCAACACGCTCAGCGAGCTGACCTCCCTGAACCGGGCGGAGCACTCCCGTGTGGCCCTGCGTTCCCGCCAGGTGCTCATTGCCGCCCATCAGCCGGCCTATGAACTGCGTCACAATCAGATGGAGTCAATTTTTCTGTCGGCCGTGGATATGTATGGTCACGATTTCCATCCGGAGAACCTGCAGCGTTTGATTCTCTCGGAGACGTCCATCTTCGACATACTCCACGACTTCTTCTATCACTCCAATCGGGCTGTCTGCAATGCCGCCCTCGAGGTTTACGTGAGACGCGCCTACACCTCGTATGAGCTGACCTGTCTGCAGCACCTGGAGCTCTCCGGCGGATTGCCGCTGGTGCATTTCCAGTTTCTGCTGCCGACGGCGCATCCGAATCGTTTGTTCTCGCGCATGAGTTCGCCGGAGGGCCTGGATCAGGCGATAGCTACCGAAACGATGGGCAGCTCCTTTGTGCGCACCGGCGCCATTGCGGCCTTTGATTCGTTCGAGCACTTTTCCATGTACTCCGATGAGATCCTGGATCTGTTGGAGGACTTCGTTTCGCCAGCGCTGGTCAGCGCCAAGGTATTGGAGGCGGTTGAGGCTGCCGATTCCATATCGGACAGTCGTCACAGTACCTCGATCAATGTCTCACTCTCGGATCCCATCACGCGTGCCAATGCCGCCGAAGAGGCCAAATCCACGGAGCCCATTCATATCATCAGCGTTGCGGTGCGGGAGACGGGCGAAATGGACGACGTGCAAATGTCACAGATCTTCGGCAACTACTGCATGGAGCACAACGAGGAGCTGTTTCAGCGACGCATACGTCGCATCACTTTTGCCGCGCTCAAGAAACGCCAGTTCCCCAAGTTCTTTACGTATCGAGCCCGGGACAAGTTCGAGGAGGATCGTATCTACAGACATTTGGAGCCGGCATCCGCTTTCCATTTGGAGCTGAATCGCATGAAGACTTACGATCTGGAGGCATTGCCGACGGCCAATCAGAAGATGCACCTGTATTTGGGCAGGGCCAAGGTGTCCAAGGGTCAAGAGGTCACCGACTTCCGTTTCTTCATACGTTCCATTATCCGGCACTCGGATCTGATCACCAAGGAGGCCTCCTTTGAGTATCTGCAAAACGAGGGCGAACGTGTGCTGCTCGAGGCGATGGATGAACTGGAGGTGGCCTTCTCCCATCCGGATGCCAAACGCACCGATTGCAATCACATATTCCTCAACTTTGTGCCCACCGTCATCATGGATCCCGCGAAAATCGAAGAGTCCGTCACCAAGATGATCATGCGCTATGGTCCGCGTCTGTGGAAGCTGCGCGTGCTCCAGGCTGAGCTCAAGATGGTCATCCGGCAGTCGCCCCAATCGCCCACGCAGGCGGTGCGTCTGTGCATAGCCAACGATTCGGGCTACTTCCTGGACATCTCCATGTACACGGAACAAACCGAACCCGAAACGGGCATCGTAAGTGGAGGCACCCCTCGATTAGCAACCAGTTCCAGCAGCTAATCCCTTACTCTTTCCTCTTGCAGATCAAGTTTAGGGCCTATGGCGACAAGCAGGGCTCGTTGCATGGCCATCCCATCTCCTCGCCGTACATGACCAAAGACTTTTTGCAGCAGAAACGCTTCCAGGCCCAATCGAATGGCACCACCTATGTCTACGATGTGCCCGACATGTTCCGCCAGATGACCGAACGTCATTGGAAGGAGTTCTCCAAGGCGCGACCCACTGTCGATATACGCATACCCGATAAGATACTGCTCGAATGCAAGGAGCTGGTGTTGGAGGATGATAATCTGGTCGAGCTGCAGCGTCTGCCGGGCGAGAATAATGTGAGTATATATAGGAGCTGGGATTGGCCACCCTAGATAGAATCTATAAACCGCCTTCCTTCTTCTTCTCTTTCAGTGTGGCATGGTTGCTTGGCGTATTGTGCTGGCCACACCCGAGTATCCAGCTGGTCGCGAGATTATAGTGATTGCCAACGATCTGACCTATTTGATTGGCTCCTTTGGCATCAAGGAGGATGTGCTCTTTGCCAAGGCATCGCAGCTGGCGCGCAAACTCAAAGTGCCTCGTGTAAGTAGCTCCACTGGACACTGCCGGAACTGCACTTCATAACTAACTGTCCTCCCGCAGATCTACATCTCCGTGAACAGCGGCGCGCGCATTGGTCTTGCCGAGGAGGTGAAAGCCATGTTTAGAATAGCCTGGGAGGATCCCGAAGAGCCCGACAAGGGCTTCAAATATCTATACCTGTCCACGGAGGATTATGCCAAGGTGGCCAATCTGAATTCGGTGCGTGCCATACTCATCGAGGATGAGGGCGAGCAGCGCTATAAGATCACCGATATCATTGGCAAAGACGACGGTCTGGGCGTTGAGAATCTGCGCTACGCTGGCCTCATTGCCGGCGAAACATCGCAGGCGTACGAGGAGATTGTGACCATTGCCATGGTCACCTGCCGCACCATTGGCATTGGCTCCTATGTGGTGCGTCTGGGTCAGCGTGTCATACAGATTGACAATTCGCATATTATACTCACGGGTTATGCTGCTCTCAACAAGGTAGGTTATAGCATTAGTCATGGTAACCTATGGTAACCTGTATTAATCGTGCTCTCCTCTCCAGCTGCTCGGCCGCAAGGTTTATGCCTCGAATAACCAGCTGGGTGGCGTTCAGATCATGTTCAACAATGGCGTCACCCACAAAACGGAAGCCATCGATTTGGATGGCGTCTACACAATACTCGACTGGCTATCCTACATTCCCGCCTACATTGGCTGTGATCTGCCCATTGTTTTGCCCAGCGATCAAATTGATCGTCCTGTCGATTTCATGCCCACCAAATCTCCCTATGATCCGCGCTGGATGCTCGCCGGTCGTGTGAATCCTGTAAATGCCAATGATTGGGAAAATGGTTTCTTCGATCGCGATTCTTGGAACGAGATCATGGCGCCATGGGCTAAAACCGTCGTCACGGGTCGCGCTCGCTTGGGTGGTGTGCCCGTCGGCGTTATAGCCGTGGAGACGCGCACTGTGGAGGTGGAAATGCCCGCCGATCCGGCCAATCTGGATTCGGAAGCCAAGACACTGCAGCAGGCCGGTCAAGTATGGTATCCAGATTCATCGTACAAGACGGCGCAGGCTATCAAGGATTTCGGACACGAGGAGCTGCCACTGATTGTGTTTGCCAACTGGCGAGGCTTCTCCGGCGGCATGAAGGACATGTACGAGCAGATTGTCAAGTTTGGGGCATACATTGTCGATGGTCTGCGGGAGTACAAGAAGCCGGTGCTCATCTATTTGCCACCCAATGCCGAGCTGCGTGGCGGCGCTTGGGCTGTGCTCGATTCGCTCATCAATCCGCGTTATATGGAAACCTATGCCGATCCAGAAGCGCGCGGCGGTGTGCTCGAGCCCGAGGGCATTGTGGAGATCAAGTACAAAGAAAAGGATCTCGTCAAGACAATACATCGCCTGGATGGCACCACCATTGGGGTAGGATCAGACTGAATATATAAACTCTTTTATATAGATAAATTAATTTTCATAAATTTATCCGTATAGCTAAAGCGTGAGCACGACGAAGCGGTGGCCGCTGGCGATAAGGTAAAGGCGGCGCTGCTGGATGAGAAGATCAAGGCGCGCATCGCCATACTGATGCATGTTTATCACACGGTCGCCGTGCACTTTGCCGATCTGCACGATACGCCGGAGCGTATGCTGGAGAAGGAGTGCATCAGCGAAATTGTGCCCTGGCGCGAATCACGTCGCTGGCTCTACTGGCGACTGCGTCGGCTGCTGCTCGAGGATGCGTACATCAAGAAGATATTGCGCGCGCAGGATAATCTCTCTGTGGGTCAGGCCAAGCAGATGCTCCGTCGCTGGCTGGTCGAGGATAAGGGCGCCACTGAGGTAGATATCCTTATTCAGCTGACAGACACTGCATATACAAATTTAATACGTGTGTGTGTTTCTAACAGGCCTATTTGTGGGACAAGAATGAGGAAATGGTAGCCTGGTATCAGGAGCAAATAAATGCCGAATCGATTGTGTCCAAAAATATAAGCTCTGTTAGGCGGGATGCCATCATCTCCACAATATCCAAAATGCTAGAGGTTGGCTATAAAGATTTTAAATTATATATAGTTTATGTATTAATATATATATAAATATTTTATCTGTCACAGGACTGTCCGGATGTGGCGCTGGACGCTGTTGTTGGCCTCTGCCAAGGCCTCACGCCAGTGAGTCGTGGCGTTGTGGTGCGCACGTTGGCACAAATGCAGCTAAACGAGGAGTCCTCCGCGAATACCCAAGGATGACTCTACGTTAACTATTAAGTTATGTGAGAATTGAGTCTCCTTAAAATTTGGTGTTCGGATTATGTTTGGTGCAACGCACAATATCGAAGAGTGTTTGTTTACCTTTAGGATGCTTTCAGCGAATCGTTTAAAAGCTTTGCTTTTGTACCATTTGCATTTTGTTTAGTTGAATTCTTTGTAAATTTAATTAGCCTATTACATTAGATACTAATTAGTTAACTTCAATGGCATTGGCAGACCTTCTGCTGTTGTCTGTTCTTTTTTTGGAATTGTAGGCAGCGGGTAGTACGAGGAACCCTCTTCATTTAAATTTGGTAGTTACTCAGATATCAAAAAAAAAAAAGAAGATATATATATACACTATTCTAAAGATATATATATATATTTATATATAATATACATTGTTTTTGTATTTGTATTGTATACAAAAGCAAAACTTTCCGCTAGTTGTCTAAGACTTAAAATTGTTTATATACACAGAGATTTTTTGTGAATTATACGAATAGAAATACTATTGTGAATGTGTGTGTATGTACATGTTTCATATAAATTGAATTTATATTTTACTATTGTTTCGTATTTGCACTGATTCATGGAATCATTTTGTATGCATTGTTGCCATTTATTTCTTAAATTCAAAATGAAATTTACACATGGAACTCGGCGGCAAGCGTAAAATTAAATGTAAAACATGTCGAACTTTCCCAGATCAGGCTGAGAATTTCAGTAAAGTTTAAATGATGCAGTCTGCCCACCTCGCATGCTCAGTTCTGTTGATCCAGCCAGTCCGGCTCGGCCACGCCGATTTTCTCTATTATGGAATTTACTTGATAGCACAGCGATTGAATTTGACGATCCCATTGGGGCAGCAGTTCACGATTCTCAAAGTGCACAATGCCTGAGATTTGGTCGATGTGTCCATTCATGCGTCCCTCGGTGATCATTTGCGAGGCGATCTTCTCCGCCTTGGCAGCGGGTATGTCCAACAGGGCGCCAAGTTCCTCGAATGTTATGTTGTTGTACAATTTACTGGCGGACAACAAATTGTGCTCAAAGACAGCGCGATCCAATATGGAAGAGCCATCTGGTGTGGCAGCCTTTTGATGATCCATCAGCAATGCCTCAAACTCCTGCAGCTCCGAGCGACGTATAATCCGTTCCAAGTACATTTTCTCCAGTATGCCATAGGCTGGCAAATGCTGACAGCGCTCATCCTTGAAGAGTGTAGCCAGCATTCGGGAGCGCTGCTGCCCAGCCGAGGCCAGCACTGTGCAGATAAGCGCCTTCTTCAGCGCTGTCATCCGCTCGCCCTGATCCACTATTTTGCGGTAGGACAGTTCGTTGTAGCGTTGGGCAGCCTCAATGAATTTGCGGCGGTAATCGAGAACGCGGGCATAGCACACTTTGTACAGCACCTGCAGTACAGACAACAGATAGAAATAGGTCGAAACTAGGTTTAAATAACGATTTTACCTGCAATTCCTCGGAGTTTGTTTCTGCTTGCAGCAGCGAGGCGCGATTAATGAAGAGCTCGGCCTGCACCGAATCATTGTCCTCCAGATAGAGACGTGCTATTTTCAAGTATGTGCCCAACTTGCACTCCACGGAGTATTGTTTCTGGCCCGTCTCGAGGGGAATGCCAACCAAAACGGTGGCCGCATCTCGCCACTGTTGATTACGCTCGTATATGTTGGCCAAATGGAAACGTATGCCGGCCACTTGCTCCTCAAACGATATGACGCGTGGGTGCACCTTCTCCAGTGTGAAATGGGACAGCTGCTTGGACATGTCGTCGGGCAGTTTACTCAGCTCCACGCCCACATCGTTCAGTATCTGACGAGCTATGACCAGGCTAACATGCTCGTTGACAATGGCCTCCACAAAGAGTTTCAGTGTATCGATCAATTCGGGACCGGTGTTTGCTAGGACACTTTTCAGCAGCTGGCGGTACTTGTCCGCTTGGTCCTTGTGCGTACCAATGAAGTTGGTCAAGCCCATCAACTGGGTACGCAGCACCGCCGTAGATATACCCATTATCTAGGATCTTAACGCAAACAATGACTTTATTGCAATAAGAAATCGGACAAACTAATAAATATTATCGATAGGCCACCAAGTGCTGGACAACGCTGACAGATATAGTCAGAGTTGCCATATGTGCCTAAAACTAGTACTTTATTTATATAAAATGGTATCCTTTTTTAATTTTCAAATTTCATATCACCCTTATTAATTATTTTAATTTAAAAAGAATGCAACTATTACTTAGATTAAATTAAATTTGAATAATAAACAATCAAATACGATATCCCTTATACTAAAGATATATATTTTGGTAAAAAATAATTTAAACAGGTGGCAACTTTGGTTCTAGTCGATGACATTCTACAGCGCCAAGAACATTTATCGATAATCGAAGATTTTATATAAACAGAGCGGCAAACACGTCGGCAACTAGAATTTGGGCATGGATTTGCCTGTTGAACATGGAAGATGATGATGATGATGACTACAGCATAGATGCAAGTCCAACGAAACCAAGTCCCAGTTGTTCCAAGCGGTCCGAACTCCTACTTAGAAGAAAAACTCGTACAGTACAAGAAAACTACGACATCCAGACAAAGCGGGCGCCGGTAACACAATGGCCATGTGGGACTCCACATCAACAGCCACGACTGGACTTGGTGAGTGCTTGGGAGCTGCGCGAAGAACAGCTTTTTGAAGCCGACCGCTTGGACTGCCTGCGCGCCCAACAAGAGCCTTTGCGGGTACGTTCCGTGCCTGCCTCACAAAACTTCAACTCGCTGCAGTCCATGCTGGAGAGCCAGGAGATGCCCATGCAGCAAGCCTCGCCCGAGCCAGAAGCAACAGAACAGTTGCTAAGTAAACCAAGCAGCATTGTGCAAGAAATACTTCGGGATTTCTGTTCGTCGCCCACATATGTGGAGGAGCAGCTGCCCACAGATGATGCTTCGCCCTGGTTTCGTTTTCGTAGCAAGAAAATTAAAACCTTTGGTCACAAGCGCCCGACAGCAATTGCAGCAAGCACAGCTGATGATGAGGATCGCTTGAGTTGCTCCTCAGAGCTATCTGTGCAAGAGGATTACACCACCCAAGTGCCCACGACGACTCACTGCGCCTTCGATGCGAATAGCTCGCAAAAGATCTGTGAAAACCTCCTCAATTTGAGTGCATTCTTCTCGCAAAACAATGTTAATAAATCAATTGATTTGCCCGATATGCAAGTTGATCCCAAAAATTGTACAGCAATAGAAGCTATGGATTACGAGCAAGAAGATGCAACAGATGTTGTCGAGGATATGGGCTACTTTCTTGGCAGCACGGAGCAGTGCAAATTTTATGATGAAAACTGTGATATTAAAATAACGGGTGAGTCTCTTATTAATCATTAATTTGTCTGCTTTTACTATATTTTTGTACTCTTTACAGATGATGCTGAGTTTTCGCTATTTAGCGAGCGTTCTCGCTTGCTGACAAGGGAAACTCCGCTTAAAGTTGGCCAATCACAAGGTGTGTGCCATATAATTTCCATTTTCTATAGATATAATATTACTTTTTTATAGATACAAGTTTGTGTGGGGATTGGTTTAAAGCTGACTTCATTACACAAAAGCTAAAAGTGCCTTTGGATAAAACAGAAACGCAGAATTTGTCCACATCAAACGCTCATTTGAAAGCTAAAGAAAGCGAATTGCTTGAGGGGATTCCTTTAAGTGAATGGCAGCCCATAGACATTGCACCTTCAGCAAATATAAATCTAATCTCTGCCTCGGAAAAGAAAGAATTGCAAGCAACTGATTGTAAGCAGCTGGAACTGATTGCATTCAGTGAGTGGCAACCAGATGCCAGCGAGTTTCGAACTGTTTCAAGCAAACCCATAAAAGTTTTTGAGCAGCACCAAAAGGAAGCTGCGAAATTAATGGCTGATGTGGAAGCGAGCTACACACAGAAACCAAGCGAGGTCGTTAACGGCAGAGATTCTGCTGGTATACAATTCCGCACTGCATCAAACAAGACCATGAAAATAACCGAGGAGATGCGCAGGAAAGCAGCCATGTTGATGGCTGATTTGGAGACAGTTGTTGAGAATCAATCAGATGCTCAAGGGTCACAAATGGATAGGATTCCTGGTTCGTCACCAAATAAAACCCTCGAAGCGCCGAAACAAATGCAAAAAGGTGATGTAAATTCATTAGCTGAATTGGGCATGAACACTGCAAAGAGAGAGGAAGTAACTGCAGACTGTGAAATGCTCGATGGGATTCCTTTTAGCGAATGGCAGCCCATGGACATACCAGACAGCAAACCAACACCAGCCGAGAGCTACGTTTGCAGTCAGTTGGATATGATACCATTTAGTGAATGGCAGCCCATGGATATTCCAGATGCCGTCGAATTTCGCACTGCTTCAAACAAGACAATCCAGGTTTCTGAGGAAAAACAGCAAGAAGCTGCCAAGTTTATGGCCGACATAGAAGCTAGCTACTCCCAGAAAATAGGAGCAGATAGAAGTATAGTTAATATTGATTCTGACGTTTCGGTAAATGTCGAATTTCGCACTGCTTCCAATAAGATCGTAAAGTTAACGGAGGAGATGCGGCAAAGGGCAGCAATGTTGATGGCCGATTTGGAAACTGGGAGCTTAAATCCCCAAGAGACAACAAAGGAACAGTTGGAGGAGGTTCAGAAGAATGCAAATGAAGGCTCAGAAGCGAATCAAAATAGAAGTCTCCATTCTGAAATTTCAGAAAATATCGAATTTCGCACTGCATCCAATAAGATCGTGAAATTAACGGATGAGATGCGGCAAAGGGCAGCAATGTTGATGGCCGATTTGGAAGTCGGGAGTTTAAATCAACAAGAGGAAGAAAAGGAACAGCTGGATAAGGTTCAGCTTAAAAGGTGTGCGCCGAGAAACATATCAGAATCTGTTGTATTTGGAAATTTGTCTAGAAAACTTACCACAGAAGAGGATATAGAAAAAGGAATTCCTGAGCCAACAAGTGATTCTATCGATGGAATCACGCCATTTGCGCCTGAAACCAGGATTGGTCTGATAACAGCGACACCACAGCCGAATCTAGTCACACAGAAGAACTCTGAAACCTTGAATGTTCCATTCGAGACGCCCAAATGCACGCCGGAGCTGCAGTCCTCGCTGACACAGCTCTCCGAGCGTTCGCCTCTGGACAAAGCCACAAAGAGCTCGATAATTACGCGCCGTAATCTGCTGTCCCTGAATAAGCGGCGAAAACAGAAGCGGGATGCAGAGAACTGCAGTGCGGATGCTGGCCGCACGCCGATTAGACGATTTGCTCCCATGGCAGCCTCGACAAGCACGCCCATGCCCAATCGCAAGGACAGCGTGGAGGGAGAAGCGCAGCGCGTAATGCGCGATCGAAGCTGCTCCCAGGAATCGCCACGCGTGCACAGGGAACGTGTGGGTAAGCGCAAGAGTGAAGAGGCGCTGTCACCGATCTATGCTCCCACAACTAAAACCCGACGACTCGGCTTGAGTCGCATACGGAATAAATCGAACCATGATATTTAAAAAATAAAAGTGCGGTACAAAAAATACATATACATACACCAATGTTGCAGTGCTGGCAGTGACATTTTTTAGTGCATTTCAGTGGCAGACGTTACTCAACACTACCATATGTGAGTTCCAGTCGCTCATTCCATTTCCAATTGGTAAGAAAATAAATAGTCTAATCTAAAATAATAAACAGAGCGTTAAACATAAAAAAACAAATGTAAATTAACAATAAAAACTATAATATAAGTATTAGTTGTACGATTAAGCAAAATGTGTGTAATTATAGTTGTGACAGGTATCATATAAACGTAGCTTATGCACTTTGTTTACGTCCGCTGCATAATTTCCATTGGAAGGGACCCAAATATAAAAAGCAAAACAATCAAATATGAAAGTGACTTCATGTTTGCAAAATTCCAAACTCTCATGTATATATATATATATATATATATGAAAATGAAAAATATAAATATGTATATGTGATTCGGCGTAACATTTAATTGGTCTCGCGTTTGTAATTACGTAGATGCCAGCAGTTGCATATACATATGTGTGTGTGAAAGTCTGCTCCCAAGTCCAATCACCTACACTTGTTACACAAACAAACAAACAAACAAACGTATGTACATACATGCAATCAAATAGCTGTGTTTCTTAGTATATCAACTACATTTCAAATTTAGTGCTCAAATTTGTAATCTATTTTGTAGGCGTTTTATCAAGGTCGGTCGTGTGTATTGGAAGTAAAGCTTCATCAGAACAATTCTGCTTCTACTCTTGCGGCATACACACATACAAACATACTTAAACGCGAACATGTATGTATGTCACATGCACACACACACATGGACAATGCTTGACAATTGTTTATATGTAGCTATTTAAAATTGTGGCGTATAAGCTGCGGCTCTCTCGTCGGAAATTAAAGCAGCGACTTTATCAGGCACTTACAGTGACAACTCGCTAAAGTGAACACACATTGATATCTGTTAACAAATAATAAGAGTAAATCTGTTTTGAAGACTTTCTATTTTCGAAAAAAGGCGCGTAATGTAAACTATTCGAAATTCTCAAAATAATTTTTGTTTTAAAGTAAATTTGTTAAAACATCAAGACAAAGCTTTCACTGTATCTAGCAATACTAAATACAGTTATAGTCAGTCTTCTATCTGTGCTGCAGAGAGTTTACGTTCAAGTTCTAATCATTTAAAGCGTTTTGTTTCGCTGGCAAAAAAAAAAAAAAAAATAAATAAGCAATGAAATGAAGAAAGAAAAAAATGAAAACAAAATTCGTTTCAGTTGAGCACATTTTCAGTTTGAAAACACTTTTTCTCCCTTTTTGATATTGGCCAGTCGTGTTTTGTACGCTGTGTCAGTTTATAACGCCACGTCAGTCCAAATTGCCAATAATAGTCATTGTTGTTAATATTTTATAAACTATATATATTTATATATAAACATAGACCAATTTTGTTTAAATTTTTAGACACTTTGCACCGCCAGTTACAAAAGCAGGAGTCCAACATGGCTGACGAATTTGATGGCTGCGAATGCATTTGGTCCCATGAATTGGCCATGCAAAGGCTCCTCAACTTTGTAAGTTAATCACGCCGCAAATGTACTATATTTATTTATTATATGCTTATCAATAGATACGCCAAAATCAGAATGCCTGCACAGATACCGAGTGCATCGATGGTAAGTGGAATTTCCCGTCCGTCTGGCGATTAAACATCTTAACATTTCCTCTGCTCTCTTAGTCAGCGGACGCGTTGCTCAGACGGGCCAGGCGGTGATTGGTGGCGGCGGCGGCGACACCGGCGGAAGCTTCACCATAGCCATGATATTCATGCTGCTGGCCATGTTTATGTACGTGGTGAATCCGAGCGTTTGGCGTCAGTTCTCCAACAATAAGCCCAGTCGACGTGATAATAATCCAGATGGTGCGCCACCGCCGCAGCCACCGCCGGCAATCAATTGAGCTGCCGCTGGACATGATTAGAGCTTGCATTTTCCTTTGGTTTTAGCTACATACACAAATAAACGATTATATATGTACATATATACAGATATGTATAGGCTAAACTTGCCACAATGTGTATACATTCATATATATATATTTATATTGGAAGACAAAAATAAATTAATGCAATGAAATCAAAAGCAAAACGACAAGATAATTAATGTACGTGTGTGTTTCGGTCATATAATTAGCTCAATTGATACCATCATTCTTATTTAATCAATATCAATTTTTGTACAAACTTACTCAATTACGTACTACATACATATATAGCGTATATAAATGTATATTGGCATGATTTTCATGTGCAATTTTGAAATAAAATTGGCAAATAACAATCCAATCTCTGCACTTGTTGCTAATTAAAAGCCATGTCTGTTTTATGTATTTACAAATTAAAAGCTTGTTCGGTTTAGTTTATCTCCGGCTCAATTGTCCTCGTTTTGCAGCTTCTCCATTTTCTGGCGCACATTCTTGAGCACATCCTTCATTTGCTCATATTTGCCCGTGGAATCGGGCAGATTCTCAAAGTTAATCACATCGCTGACGCCCACCTTGAAATTATCGCCCACGGGCAGCTTGTCATAGACGGAAAATTTCAATATGGGCGTGCCAGCTATGGATGGCGCCTTAAAGATGCTGGCTTGGCTGGATTCGACCGGTGTAACAGGCGCCGCCGTTTCATTTTCTTCTGTTTGGGGCACATTCGGCTCGACTTCACTTGTGTTTAGTGAAGTATTCGATTCCAGTTGCTCCAGCAATTCGTCCTGCTGCGCCTTCAGATCCTCCAGAGTGGGCGATGGACTGCGTATGCTCGTATCCTTTATTGGTGGCGGCGGTGGCGTCGTCGTTTTGCCCGGCTCTGCGGGCAAAGGTGGCTGCATGGCCTGTTCCTCCGTCTCACCATCGTCCAGCTCCATGTCGTGCTCAACCAGATTTGTGTCGCTTTCCAGCAACGTGGGACTAGCATCATGTGGCGTTGGCAAATCTACCAATTTTATACGCTTATAGGCCTTGGTCACATTTTCGCCCAGCGACTTGATAAAGTTCGCCTTTAGCTGGTGCTCTTGAAAACGTGGCACATTGTGATGTTGAAAGTCCTAAAGATGCGAAGGTTAGTTTTACAGTTATTTGTTGTGGCACATGCCAAATATTTACATCGTAGAACTTGGGACCGGGCTGCGCGTTAAAGCCAGGAAAATCAATTATTTTATTGACATCATATTTGAAGCTATCAGTTTCGCCCATCTCCTCCTCCGGCCCCTGCACCTCGCTGCCCTGTGATGGTAACAAAGGTTAGCCAAAGCCAAATGATATATATCTAAGCCCATACTCACATCCGCATTGAACAGCGCTATGCCGGAGCTTTGCACCTTGGCCTCCTCGAGCCAGGCGGGTGGATAGCCCAGGACACGCATCCGATAGAACATGAACGGCAACTCGCCCCGACTGTAGCCCATGGCATGCCGCGTTTTACTGCTTATGCGACCGGGGCGTATGTGTGCAAAACGCTGCTCCGTATCCACATGGTAGCGTTCCGCCCGGCTGTTCTTCTTGCGGGCGCGCTGTATCCGGGCCTGGTTGCGCGGCCGCGGGCACTCACGCAGCGAATGTTCGACGCCGCCGCAATTGAAGCAGGCGGACTGCACCTTCGGTCGGAAGCACTTGTTAACCGCCTCGAGCTTTAGCTTCTTGCGCGCCAACGTCTCCTCGTCCAGCACCTCGGTGTGGCAGCGCTTGTAGGACGGCACTTGGGCTGCATTTAACTTCGTCGCCGGCGAAGTGTCTATTTTAAATATATAACTTTCTGGCTCTGGGCTTTTCGCTCTGGCATGCACACTAATACGCGTGTCTTTTGTTGTGTACACAAATTCCTCGCCGGCAAATGTCGCATTTAGCGCCTTCACCAGGCGCTCGTGCAGCCTCTTGAAGACATCCTTTCGTGGAAAGTTCACCTCGAATATCAGCCCTTCAGAAGCAATCAATTTCTAGTTGTATTTCAAATGATGAAAAGATTACAATTTTTTATTATTTTTCTCGATGCTGTACCTGGTCGTTCGTTCCCTCTGCGGCGCGGGGTGGGGGCGGCTTTGCTTTGGCGGCATTGTTTAGCGCATTATCTTCAACTTCCCTTACTTCTCCGTCTTCTACGTCGGCATCGCTGTCAATCGTTATGATAGAATCGTTAATTTCTATAACGCTATTGTCCATTTCTCTTTTAAATAAATAAACACCAAAAAACTATTATTTTTCCGTTCATGAACACCAGTTCATAGTTCCAGGGCGACCCTTTGGAACTCGTTACATTGCAAAAAGTAACGAGTAACTGCTTTAGCGAAAATTCAAACGCGACTAGTTACACGTTGGAAACTTTTGCCAGCTGAAAATTATTTTAAATATATAGCATTCGTTTCATTGATGTTGGATGCCAAATTCACATTTCCAGCCTGTATTGTGTATTCATGAAAACTCTTCTCTCTTCTGCCAAGTTGCGTTTTAAGAAATATTATATTATAAAATTATTAAGGTATAAACAACATTAGCCTTGATTTATAAATCATAAGCGTTGTCCCAGCTGTTGTCTCTACGATTTGATAAGATTAAGTGCCTTTCGTTTCTCAATCGTCAGAGTGTAAAGAGCTGCTCCTAAAATTGAAATATAATTTGAAATTGAAACTTTTTCAGTTTTTTTATTGATTTGATTACAGGAAAAATTCCAAAAATTCTTATCCAAAAATAACGCCTCCAATTTTGTTTACTCAACAGACAGAGTTAACGGCAATTTTTATTAACAGCGCGCCGCGGTTCGCTGTTATTAACATTTTAACTATATGTTAGCCGAACTGTCAGGCGTATTGCAGCACACGCTTAGCTAAGAAATTAATAAATAAGTAAGTGTTTTATGATATGCATAAATACTTACAAATAGCAAACAATTTCACATATTTTTGTCTCCCCAGGCATTTCAGCTAAAGGTGAAAATTGCTAAAAATGTCCTCTGAACGCAGCGATCCCAAAGATTCCAGCTCCCCCTCGTCGCCCACCTCCCAAATTGCTGTAGAGTGGAAGCCCCCCGTAGATACATATATAAAGTGTCCTTATGACGCTGGGCATCGCATACTGCGCAGCCGTTTATCCTGGCACTTGACCAGATGCGCTCGCAATCATCCCGGCAGCAATATGATACGCTGCCCCTTCAATACCACCCATGTGGTGCATAGCTCCGACATGGATGTAAGTGAAGGTAGCACCGCTTGCCACAAATTAATTTAAAATATATTTCCTTTTTATACGGTAGTCGCATGTTAAGAACTGCACGAACCGAATTGACTTCGTGAGATTTCAAAACCCCGATATGTTGCCGCCCAAAGAGCCACTTGCCTCGCCTGTCGACTTGGTCGAGTCCTCCGAGAACTGGGATGATGAGCCCCCGGTGGAAACCTACGATCCGAGAGCCTACTGCGAACAGAACCTAGTCATACGCAGCTTAGTCGGTGCGCCGCCAGCTTCGCGGCGCGTTTTTCGCGAACTCGAGCGAAAGCGTTTCCAGCAAATTAGCCAAGGCAAGAACAACTAAAATGTGATTTAGCCTTATCTTCACATACATACATGCAAACATACACACACTTAACTTTATTTGCATTTAAACATTATGTATGCAGAAATGCCTAATCGCAACGGCTCGTTCCAGTCAGTGTTGTAAATGCTCACAATTATTTAGTACTAAAAATAGGCATGTTATTTAAACGTTTATTACTAAATGTAAAGCTAGAATATAAAATGAAAAATAAAATATATATATGTACATTTATAAAATCTTTGCATGATTCATGCAGCTGCATGAAAATATGTAGAAAATGCATTTCGACTTCCGCAATCGCCATGAGATATGGTTAAGTAAAACAAACAGAAATGAATTCAAATCATTCGAAATGCGAGTCAAGTGTTCTCAGCCGAAGACGACGTCATGTCTCTGCTTGAGAATCTAGAGAATCGCCGACTGAATGACAACTTGGGTTGCCCGGCGGCGATCATTGAATAATGTTGTCGCATAATATCATTATTAATTCAACTTACAACTGGGGGAATTCTCAGCAGCAGCAGCAACAAGCAAAAACTGTGTGATTCTCCGTGCTGTAGGAGTTTCGAGCGATAAAAATGAATTTGAATTGAAGTGCGCGAAAAACGGCGACGATTCATGCATGCCAATGAGGCTTTTCATGCTTCGCGTCGCTCGCCATAAATAGTCCGGCAGCGGGATTAACTGCCTCACACTAGCCATGGATCTGCTCAGGTGTTATCTGCTGCTTCTGGCTATTGCAGTCTCTGCCCTGGCCACGCCCACACACGATAAGTTCAAAGGCGGCGCCTTCCCTCTGCAGAAGCCAAGCTATCTGCCAAATCCCGCCCAGCTTTTGAGCGAACTGCCCGCCAAATTTGTCAAGTGGAAGCCTGCGTTTGTCAAGCCCGTCGTCGTAAAGCCCATCGTTGTGGTCAAGCCGGTAATTGTGGGCGGCGGAGGTGGAGGCGGCGGTGGGCATGGTCATGGACACGGTCATGGGCATGGGCATCACGGCAAAAATAAGTTTTTTGGTAAATTTTAGTTGCAGCTAATAATTTTAGAGTATGACGATATAAAATGTGCTAAAAGCATTTGTTTGTTATAATAATAATTAAAGATTTAATTTAAGTAATAAAGCGAATACTTAAAAATTGTACAGATACATCGTCTTCTTTAATTTCCTAAGCAAATTAAATATAGATTTACCATCTAGTTACAGTTCAGCTGGCTAATTTAGCTTGTTTCCCGCTAAGCGAAACATCTCTGTCGGATGACCCGCTGCTTGGAAAGTGAAAGGCTTTCGATGGCACATCCTTTCGCGCATTTCAATAAGCGCATATCGATGTGCATAATGAATCGTCCTTGCTGACGCGTATCTATAGAACTAATGACATCCTTTGTGGGCGGCAAATTGACAGGCACTGCGACATTGGCTGTCATCGCCCAGCCAATTGCATTGAGATGAAGATGAATAGAATAGTTGCCATAAGCATTAAAACACAGCAGCAACAAGTGATAAGAGCGCATTCTAATCAACGTGCCACATAACCGTAATCATAGTCATAATCATAATCATATGACAGACACACGCACACGCACACACACACACACACACACAGATATATCTAATTTATACAGTTGTCTTGAGGGCGCTTTGTAATCAGCAGCAGCAGCCGCGTTTTATGCAAAAAGAGGACCGCAACAACCACCCGCCAGAACCCGCCCTCCCCCCCCCCCCCTCTCTCTCTCTCTCTCTTCCGTCCATTTGGCATGTAAAGGCGCCTATATAAGCGGCTGGGCCAGAAGTTTCGCAAACATTTTGGCACAGTTTGCAGAGCCCGGCGGAGTTTTGGCCACAGACAGCAGTCAGTTATAAACCCAGTTAAAGGCTTACAAAATGGTGAGTGCGAATCTGATCTATAAACCACATTTGAAAACAACTAAGAGTGCGCCAGTCGGGTATGCCCGAATAGAAGATACGCTTCCTAACTTCTTCCATTCCTAATAAACTTAAAATATTTAGCGCATAAATATGTCATCAAAATGAGAGCAAGTCTTTACCTTTAACAATGCATTTGTTGCATTTCGATATATATCGATACTTATCGATTTCATAGAAACGAGACGATTTATCGATAAAGTTTATCTTGCACTGGCAAGACCTACTTTATAAATTCAATTCAAGTCAAGTCTAGCCCCTGTCCCTCCGTCTGATCGATCTCAGGGAGTATAGTTCCTATACTTCCTATATAGAGCCAAAAAGGTACTTTGAGGAGTTACATAGGTTTCTTTCTGCCTGTTACATAAACTTGCACACAACTATTATACCCTCTCTGCCCAAGCACAATGGGTTAGGGTATAATAAAATGCGATCGGCACTTGGGTAATCTTTGAGCTAAGCCCAGCTATTTTTAGACGCGCAGTTTCCATTGCAGCATGCACCAAAAACGGGTTTGATTCAAATGCCAACAAGCCGATCTATAATTGCGATCGAAATGAAAATCCAAATGGAAATGGAAATGGAAGTAGTTAGAGTCTACAGAGACAATATGTGCATAACGGCAATCCTCGAAGAAAATGTTGCCTGAGTGCAGGACACCGGCTCGAATCTCCAGCTAGTGTAGACAGTGCTCTTTACAATTAATGTTAAGATATTTTGTATTTTTTTTGTTAATTTAAGCTTTGCTATATTTGTGCAATGGCAGATCGCATCGGCTGCCCACTAAAATAAGAATGTGGCTTTCTTAAATGGCAGCAGTTTAATCTGGTTTGTTGGCTTAAGTGCCCATCACGAGACAGAGTCACGAATTTAGATACAGATACTACTTTAGTGCCTGGTGACCTTTGCTGGGGTCTCTCGCTGCCCACACTCTCCATCTCTCTCGCGCTCGCTCTCTCTTACTGAGCTTGTGTTTGGTATTTTCTTACTTTGTGCCTGCTAAGTATTTATAATTTGCGTGTGCGCCGCTCATTTAGTCAACGTCTGTCCATATATCTCAAGAAAATACGGCCAATTAACTGTCAGCGCGGACGGACAGCCGCCCTACCGCAACCCACGAAGCTGACGCCACAGCTAACCCAAGCGGGAGAGGGGGGGGGGGGGGACTGCAATAGCAAGTGTTGCATTCGGTTAGCCAATTGCGTAATCAATTCTTCTTGTAAATTCTTTGGGCTTATGCTAATATCTAAATGCATATATATAAATTGATATATCCATATTTCTTAGCATTTTATACGTCTCTCAAGTATTGCAACATTTTGCAATCGGCGTCGCGATTGACAGAAGCTCAGACAACACGTCTGACCGTATCTCAGTTTATTGAATCATACTTGTGCTACATTACAAGTTTGTTGACACGCTGACGTATACGTGATGTGCACACACACACACACACACACACACACACGCACACGTGAGGTGAGGTGCCCACCATAGATGATTTACATGTATTACTAACAAAATATACGAACCGCAGGCCAAAGCGCTAGCGTAAATCTAATTGTAAACAGGCGTATAATTTATATGTATGTACATATATATGTATATAGATGTAGCTAGATGGCTTTGGTTACGGTTATATTTAAGTCCGGGGCTGTCGCGTTGCCGCCCCAAAAACGGAAATGGGCAATAATATGCGACGCAGCTCAAACTTTTTTTTTTGCTTTTTTTTTAATTTTATTTTACACGCTTTTACATGCTTAGCGACAAGCCGCGGCGTCGTCGTCAACTGAAGGTGGAGGCGCTGCAAGAACGCCTGGAAAGACACTGCATACACTAACATACAGACACACACACACATACATGCAGCACACTTCTGTATACCCTACAAAAATAAAAGCTATAATATAGGCAGGGATATACCTCTTAAAGTAGTTCAAAAACTGGTCAAATTTGATCGAAATGTTCAATACAAAGCCTACTTTTGGGAATTCGAAAAATTCGATCTATACGAGTGTAAAATTTTACAAAAATATGGCATTCACGGTTAGTTTCTTTACCCAGTATACTCTCAGTAATGAAAAGTTATCGATAACTAGAACTCAGTTTCACTATAAAATTCTCCCTTAAATACTTTTTTCACAATACACAAAATAAAAGTTTCAGCTATTGCATATGTTAATGTTGCTTATTATAGCAGATTTTTAAAATCAGTTTATAAGATGTAACATTTTATGCGGCATCTCATAGTCGTGCATGGCCACACAAAACATTTCCTTGCTCATTTATGCTCGTGACGCGTTTTATTTTGGTGAGTCGAGTGAATTACAGTTACATGCTTCAATTTCAATTTCAATTCGTGCATTTGTGTGTGTGTGTGTGACTTAAGCAGTGGCGTAGCTTGGAGAGGGGCTCGCTCCAGGCGTTCACTGCATTGGCTGGTAGCCTCTGACTGGCCAGTGTTGCCATGCCTCTGTGACAATGCATTGACCAAAGTTGCGCACACACACGCACGCAGTTATCAGTGAGCTTAAAAGGGGGGCGGCGTCGTATTGGGGCCGCAGACAGACACTCAACTCGGGCAACATTGCCGCATATGCTTGTATGTATGTGCGCCTGTGTGTGTGTGTATGTGTGTGTGTATCCGCACGATCGTCCGTGTTCCCGTGCTGCTCAGTGCTCAGTGCTCGCTGCGCAGTCCCCCACAGCCAGTCCAACATTTTGTCAATTCATTTTTTGCATTTAGTCTGCTTTCGTTGCTCATGCGGCTTGACAATTTTGCTTTCGACATAAAAAAATATTTCGAAAAAAAAATAATAAGAAAAATGAGAATTTTGTAGTGTTTTTTTTCGACACGGCGCGTCGCCTTGGCATATAGCTAGATATAGGTATATATATATATACCCATTTCTATATAAGCCAACAAAGGTATTTGTTTTTGCGTCCATTGCAGATATACTTTGGCTACTTAAAAAAATATACATATATTTACTACATATATATATTTTAATATACATATGTATGTATGTGTGTACAACTACAACTGCATGTGGTACACAGTCAATTGTGAATTATCAGTGACAACGTGAGAATTGTGCGGCCCTTGTCCAGGGGCGACAGCTTCGATATACGCCGCGTATCAATTATGTGGAAATATATTTACAAAGATACATATGCATATGTACGTATGTTTGCGTGTGAGTGTTCATGTGTGTGTGTGTGTGTGCGTGCATATGTAAAGCAATTTCGATGCCCTGGCACTGAATGTCACTAAACGCGCCAACCACTCGCATTGCGTGCGAATGTTACACACACTCACACAGCGAGTGTGTGAGAGAGAGCAAGTCGACCCAGTGTTTCTCCTTCTTTGCGTGCGTGTGTGTGTAGATCAGCTTCGTAGTCGCTGCAGCAGCAGCGGCGGCAGAAACCGCACGTCAAACAAACAAACAAACAACAATTTACATTCATTCATTGCGCGTCGGCATCATTGTGAACGATAACGATTGTGATTGCCGCCTCTGGTTATTATCGTCAGTTCTGCCACGCACCGAGAGAGAGCAGCAGCAGTGAGAGTGATCGCGTGTGGAACAAAAATACCAAACAAAAATAAAAGGGAAAAAAAAAGATAAAACGTAAAAGAACCAAAGCAATTTCAAAATCAAGTTGTTCGTGTTCTTTTTTGTGCTGTGTCATTTTGCCTGGCCACGCCCATCTATGTCGCCTAGGCCGTATCAACGCAACGCACACAAAGATCTAACAAAAATCCACACAAAATGGCGATAAACTCAAGCGCCAGAGAAACGCCCCAGCGTCAAGTTTAAAAGAGATCAAAGATAACAACTAGATAAAAACAAAACAAACAACAAAAAAACTAAAACTCGACCAAAATTGTATGCAACAAAACTTTGCCACAAGCCACAAACAGCAGCAGCAGCAGCAGCAGCAGCACAAGGCAGAGAAACTCGCATCGAACCCGAAACAAGCGCCTAAGGTAAGCGACCCTCCGATATCGAATCCCAATCCGATTTCGATCTTCGCCTTTTTGTTATGCATATTTGCATATTTGTTTGTCAGTTTATTAACTTTTATCGCACCCTTTTTGC